AAGTTTTCTACAGCCAAACTTTCAATACAAATCTTTGTAATGGAAGAATTTAGTAAATGTTGTAAGTGATTTGGGATAACGAAATTCCTGACTTAATAATTCACCAGTAATGCATACTATTCTCATTAATATCCAAAATGTAACTACAGACACGGGCATAGCGAAAAAGTTGGGATATATAAACACTGTAAAATTGGTGGCAAAGGAACATCATCATCCCGAAAAGGAAAATTAACACTAAGGAAAGACAAATCGTCCCTTTTGTCGTAAATTTTTGTGTAGAGTTTCTCGGGTTGAACTGAAATATCTAAATCTAGAAAAGGACAGTAATTGCTGTTAATATTTGATTTATTGAAAGTAAGTTCCTTTGGGTAAATTTCGGCAGTAAGTTTAGAGAATTCTTGATTATTTAATGAAAAAATAATATCAAGATAACAGTTAGTGTGGTTTTGTCTATTAAATGGAATTATGACGGGTCTTTACTGAGTTTGGCCATAAACTGTGATTCATAACAGTACAGGAACAAGTCTGCTTTTAAACGGGCCCACTTGGTGCTATAGGAATACCTACAACCTGTTGATGAACTTTATTGCCGAAACATACATAAATGTTGTCAAGGAAAAAAATTACAGCTTTAATCATCTCATCACAACACACATTAAAGTTTGGTTTTAACGTAGATTAAAGTAATGTTTTACAATGAATTTGTGGTCAGATCAGCTTGAAACTTGGAAGAAATTTCCTTATGATGTGAACGTTTGGAAATGTATGTATGATTAGGATTGGAACCAGATTTCACAGTTAACTGTAAATGGAAATATGATTATGTGAGCTCAACATGGTGTGTTATGGTAACATACTCTTGTTATTGCATAATCCAATCAGCATTAATAATTCTGATTTACATGAAGATTTATCAATGCAACTTCATTAAGATCCACTATCTTTGAAATTTTTGGATGTTAAAATGTGCATAAGGTCAGTATGGTCAGTGCAGCAAGAACCACACTTTCTAAGTCAATGATATGCAGTTGTATTAGTACCAGTACATTTCATTTCTTCAAAGACAATTTTATCTTATCCCTCACTGTTTACTTATTGAATTTGTAAAAGGGTCCCTTGAAACAAAAAAAGTAAATGGATACTTTAAGAGGGGTTGTTTTTCTACATTAATCTGCCAGTTATGGTCCTTGAATTGATTTTTTTTTACATTTTTATACGCCAGTCAAAATTTTGACGGGACATATTATGGTATACAAATGTTGTCTGTCTGTCTGTCCGGCGTAAACATGTGGTACTGTAACTTGAGAACGACTTATCCAAATTTCATGAAACTTAACATAGTTGTTTCTTATGATGGTCAAACGATCTGTATACTTTTTGGTGAAAATAAGATTAAAACTTTTTGAGTTACGAGACTTAGTAACTAAAACATGTGTGTGTTTTTTTTCACATATCTCAAAAACGATTTATGATTATTGCTTAAAATTTTACACACTTCTTAGTTATATTAATCTTATGATCTGTATACTTTTTGGTTTTGATTCAAAATTTTATTTTAGAGATATTGAGTTTTTTGTAAAAAAAAAAGTGGGGGGTTTTCGCATGTGGCGCCGTATGTCAGAAACTATTTACGATTATTGCATAAAAATTCACACACAAGACGACGGGCGTATCATGCGCTCATGACGCAGCTGTTTATTCATATAAAGCCTTCATTAACCTTCTTAACTACAGAAGCATCACATTGGTTTTCTTTACTTATTTCTGTATGTTTTTGTGTTGAATGCAGATCTTCGATAGTCTATACTGTTTTTTTTTCTTTAAAATAAATTTTTTAGATTCACGATGAATTAGAGTTAGACATGTTATTCAGACATTCATCTATTGTTGACAATATATATTGACATCTCCTTTTATTCATCTCTGATTATAGACCATTTGGCAGGTGATATTAACCTCATGCATAGTTTTGTTAATTGATTTAGTTCAGCTTTACTGCAAGAGAGATAAATGTTACTCAATATTAACAGTTAGTCATGTTAAATGTAGGATTTTGAGTTGTCAAAAAAGCAAGATGATGGGAAGCTTGAAAACAACATATAAAGCAGCATGCTAAACCTGATTTATTTTTCACTTGTTCCGATGATTGATAGTGTTTGCTTTTTGTCAGATTTTATGTACTTCCCATTTATGAATTTGCCTTGACGTTCTGTATTTTTGTTATACTTTCTTCACTTCATTTTTTCTCAACAGTTAAATTTTTTCAAAACTTTAGTTTTCAGTTGTTTCCAAGTGCACACGACTATGATTTTGTACAAGTATTTGCCTCTCTTTTGGTCTTCTCACTGTTGTATGTTAATAGATTTTTCATAGTTACAAAATATTCAGAATCTCTTCCAGTCTATTTGAAACAAAAAACAACGCCAATAAAAATGTTTGTTAGGACAATAAAAAGTTGTTCAATATCGATAATGAAATTAAAAGCTACATTGTAAGCAAGATAGGCAATAAAGAGAGACTGTAACCAAACCCAAATAAATTGTGACAGTTTTGAATTTTAAACATGTTATTTTCGTAGTGGTAAGTTTTGTTTTAGTTTACCAACATTGAGTGTTTATGCAAAACTGGCTGGAGTTTTTTTTTTCTTGGGCTGTGTATTTTGTATAACCATGACTAGCAAATACTAAAATGGATCATAACATGTTCTTGTATATGTTGATCCAGTAGGCCTCAATTGAAAAATGTAAATAAAGTAAAAGAGGCAAGTATTTCAACATCTGTTAATATGTATTGTCTGTTGTGGAACACAACTGCTCATATTTCCTGGAAAAAAAAGTATAACAAAAATACCGAACTCCAAGCCGCTCCTTTTTTGAATCTTTACTTTTCTGTGTAGTGTAATGGTAGAAAGTTTTCCGTCTTGTTTTACCATATTTATTTATCAGTTCTGACCAATGAAAACTAGAGGCTCTCAAGAGTCTGTGTCGCTCACCTGATTCTACTATGGTTGTGGAAATCATGTAAAAATAGATTAAAATCATAACAGACACCCTAATAATGATTGAGGCCAATTTGGTTTAATATTGGCCCCGTAATTTAATCAAAAGCAGAAGACTTTTGTAAAGATTACAGAAATTACCAATAAATTCATTGAAATTGTAGAAAATGACTTTATAAGGACAATAACTCCAACAAGATGTCAATTGACAACTTTGCTCATGTTGACTTATGTGTAGATCTTCTTTTCTTGATATTTTTACAGTTTACAGTATATCTCAATCTATAAAGATACATGTAATAAGGTCTTCATCAGCATCTCATAAGGAACATTTATGGACTGTTTGGTTTCATTCCATTCAGTGCTCCTCTAGAAGAAGCATTTGTATGTATTTCCCATAGGGTCTTATGCTAAACTAAGTCCCCTGCTGGCGGCCATCATGGATGATGGTTCGGCTACACAGTAACAACACTTGGTCATCACCTCATTAGGAACATTCATGCCATTTTTGGTTTCATTCCATTCAGTGGTTCTCTAGAAGAAGACATTTGTATGTATTTCCCATAGGGTCCTATGTTAAACTTACTCCTCCTGTTGGCAGCCATCTTGGATGACAAATCAGCTACAAAGTAACAACACTTGGTCAGCACCTCAAAAGAAACATTCATACCATGTTTGGTTTCAATCCATTAAGCGGTTTTCTAGAAGAAGACATTTGTATACATTTCCCATAGGGTCCTTTGTTAAACTAAGTTCTCCGCTGGCAGCCATCTTGGATGATTGATTGGCTACAAAGTATTAACACATGGCCAGCACCTCATTAGGAACATTCATGCCATGTTTAGTTTCATTCCATTCAGTGGTTCTCTTACAGTAAAAATTTGTATGTATTTCCATAGGGTCCTATGTTTATCTTGGATGATTGATCGCCAACAAAGTTTCAACACTTGGTCAGCACCTCAAAGGGAACATTCATGTCATGTTTTAATTCATTCCATTTAGTGGTTCTCTAAAAGAAAACATTTGTATGTGTTTTGCCATAGGGTTCTATGTTAAAATAAGTCCCTCTCTGGCGGCCATCTTGGATGATGGATCGGCTTCAAAGTAACAAAACTTGGTTAACACCTCATAAGGAACATTCATGCCATGTTTGGTTTCATTCCATTCCGTGGTTCTCTAAAAGAAGACATTTGTATGTATTGTTCATATGTTCCTATGTAAAACGAAGTCCGCCGCTGGCTGCCATCTTGGATGATGAATCGCCTACAAAGTTACAAAACTTGGTCAGCACCTCATAAAGAACATTCATGCCATGTTTTAATGCATTCCAATTAGTGGTTCTCTAAAAGAAGACATTTTTATGCATTTCCCATAGAGTCCTATGTTAAACTAAGTCTCCTGCTGGTGGCCATCTTGGATGATTGATCGCCTATAAAGTTACAACACTTGGTCAGCACCTCATAAGGAACATTCATTGCATGTTTTATTTCATTCCATTTAGTAGTTCTTTAAAAGAAGACATATGTATGTATTTCCCATAGGGTCCTATGTTTAACGAAGTTCCCGCTGGCGGCCATCTTGGATGATGGATCGGCTTCAAAGTAACATCACTTGGTCAGCACCTCATAAGAAACATTTATGCCATGTTTGGTTTCATTCCATTCAGTGGTTCTCTAAAAAAAGATATTTGTATGTATTGTCTATAGGGTCCTATGTTAAACGAAGTCCCCAGCTGGGTGCCATCTTGGATGATGGATCAGCTACAAAGTAACAACACTTGGTCAGCACCTCATAAGGAACATTCATACCATGTTTGGTTTCATTCCATTCAGTGGTTCTCTAGAAGAAGTTCAAAATATAAAAAGTTAACGACGACGGACGACAACGGACGACGGACGCCAAGTGATGAGAAAAGCTCACTTTGCCCTTCGGGCCAGGTGAGCTAAAAACTGATGATATTACACCCACTGATTCATACTTTTAAATGCAAAATACCATACATCTTTTTAATTGGAAATAATCTTGTACATAATACACCAATTTCTTGACAATTGGTTTTTACAAAAATATTATTTATCGTGAACTTTCTCATTCACCCATCTTCTTTTTTCATATTTCCATCATTTCAGCTGTATGTAATTTTCAAAGAAACAAATAATAATCATATAAACTCCATGATGTTGTCACACTTTCTGGTACACTATGTCACCATTTCTTATTACACAGTTAATTAATTTATCATGCGATCCCAGCTGGTATATCAAATGCTCCCATCTGCAAGTACAAATTTCAAATGAATTTAAAATAATCAATATATTTGAGTAATAGATGTATTTACAAAGGATATTTGATGTTTAAACAAAAAGAAGTACGAAATTGTTTCCTGCTTATTGACACGCCCATCATTTGATTGTCAGAAAATGAAGAATAAGGTATTGTTTTCACATACTTATTTTGCCGCAAAAGCGAGACATAGTGATCCTACATTCCGTCATTGTCAGCAGCGGCGTCCACAAATATTCACTTTGTGGTTAAAGTTTTGGAATTTTAATAAACTTCTTAAAGTATCCTGGATTTCTACCAAACTTGTACAGAAGCTTGTTTATGATCATAAGGTAGTATCCAGAAGTAAATTTTGTAAAAAAAAATCCTGTTTATCCGTATTTTACTTGTAAATGGACTTAGTTTTTCTTCCAGTTAACATTACATACAGTCTGCAGTTAAAGTTTTTAAAACATTTATTAGATTCATAAACCATCCTGGATTTTTACCAAACTTGGACAGAAGACAGAAGCTTCTTACAATCAAAAGATAGTATCTAGAGGGAAATTTTTAATACATTTTTTGCCATTTTTGTTGAGCCTGCGACTTTTGTCTTCCAGACAATCTATAGATTTGATTGCATGCATACTGTATTCATTTTTTACAAGCATAACTTTTTTCATACATTTCAAACGTTTGATTTCATTTACTGTAAATCTATTATGTGCATTACCCTATCACACTGAAAACATAGACAACAGCAACAGCAACAGCAAGATACTGGGTTCCGCAGAACCCTTACGAATTATTCTACTTTTTCTCTTTTCATTTGCTATTTTCTGATCATATCTTCCTCAATCAAATGATATTCAACAAGATATTATTGTAAACAAGTCGAAGTATCAAGTTTTATTAGCTTCCGGCTTACTATGTTTAATATACTAGTAATATCCAGTATAATAAATTGCAGTTTAGTAAATTGATATATGACTTTTCTTATCAATTGCCAACAGTTTCAATTTTCAAATTTTCACAACCTCTATATCCTGTACTTTTATGTGTACAAATATATCAGGTAATTTCCTTTAGATAACAATGTTAAATGAAGATAAAAAAAATCGAAGCAAGTTTACCTATAAGCATCAATGACAACCATGTCTCCATATTTCCCCACTTCTATTGTGCCATGTGTTTCTGATAATCCCAAGGCCGCAGCAGCATTGAGGGTAGCAGCTATTAAGGCTTCTGGCATTGACATATGCATCAACACACATGCTAAATGCATAACCATTGGCTGCCAAGACAAAAAACTAAATGCTTTAAGTGAGGGTGACATAAGGCTGTTCTTTTTCCAAATCCCGTTTAATTTTGCAAATGTTTCCCACATCCAACTTTTTCCCTTCTTTTATCCCCCAGATCCCACATTTGTTTACCCCCGTTATCCCACAACACAACCCCAATTTTTCACCCTATATATCCCGCATCACAAAAGAGTGTAACCACCCTCTTCATATAATTTTGTATCCTAGATCCCAGCGGTTTATAACTATTCATTAAGGTATTGGTATGGGCGAAGTAATAATTTTAGTCTTACCACCCATACATATTTGCATTGATATATTTAAAGGAAAGCAGTTCCATATTTTCTTTTTTGTTATAAACATGATTAGCCGTGCAGTAGAAACCTAATATATTAATAATATTCAGAATTATTTTTTTACTTACCATTGATGAGCAGTGAGCATTAGGGTTATAGTCGGATCCAAGAGCAACTGCCATACCCGAATCTATCATCAACCTCACGGGTGGTGGTTTTATTCTGAGAATGTAGGCAGTTGTTGGTAAAACAACGCCAACACTTCCAGCTTCTACCATTGCTTTTATTCCTTTCTCTGAAATTTCCTCTAGATGACTTATGGCTAATGCTCCCAATTCTGCTCCCATCTAAAAAAGGAAAGCAGTTCTGGAAAACTTGGGCAGTTGCACAAAAATGTCGGCATTCCGGATTGTATCATGCATATGAGAGCACTAATTAGGGATTTTCTTTTAAAATTGTTGTCCTCTGTGTGGTTTTTAAAATATTCTGCACAAAAGAATAATCCACCAATTTACATAGGCTATAAGGTTTAGTTACGATGGATCGGAGACAAGTACCTTTGTATCTGGTAACATACGACCAGTGGTAATAGCAATGTTGGTCTCTTTTAAGATGTTAATTATTCAGTTTATTGCTGAAGACCTTCAAGCAACCTTCAGCGTGATTTAAAGTAATATACGCGGTTGTTTATGTGTGATCGACTGGTACATTTATCTGAAGGTAATTATTCAAAAGAGTTTTTCACGGATTCCTGCTCATTTCCCAATTCCACTTCTCGTGTAATGTTGTCGCACTTCCAACTTATTTTCTTCTTTTCCCCAGATCCCAATTGTTTACCCTCTCGTTTCCACATTCCCCAATGTTACCCCCATATACCACATCCCATTCTTTTAACCTCCTATATCACACTTTTCCAAAAGCGTGTCGTCCCCCTCTTTCCTATTATATCCCACGAGCCACTAAAGTACCATAAAATAATTGCCACATTCAATTTATCTCATTAAAGAGTCCAATTAAGGCTAACAGCAACAAAAGGATGACCTGTATATAACGTTCGTATATTATTATGTATACCTCAGCTCCTTCTAATGGATGGAGTTCATCACCATGAAAATTTATTTGTAGACCTGCATCTTTTCCAGCCACTAGGATTCTTTTCGATTGATCAACATCAAATACTCCTTTCTCACAAAATACATCAATATTGTCAACTTTCAATAGACCATCCGACATCAGTTTGACTATCTTGGGTAACTGAACGGATATAACATCATTTGTTGCTTCATTTGGTGTTTTTCCTCTGCAAATTTAATAAACAAAATATTGCAACTTGTTTCAAAGACTGTGCCCTACAGTATCATTGAAGCGCCCAATAACGTTCGTCTTGATTTATAATAAACAGTTATCGCAATGGAAGTAAGCAATGCTACGGAACTGAAAAACAATCACTTTGTATCTTATTGATAATTAGTTACTTGTTTAAAGTCCAGTATCCAACATTTCATGGTTTTTAAGAGCGAGAAAAAACTAACCATTAATTCAGTAGGTAGGTCTACTGGGATGAAGAGCGGGAAATAAGGACTGTTACTGGAAAATATGAGCGTGATGGATAGGAGCCGAAATGTTGTTTTCTATGCTGACTATGCGGTAAAGATTTAACTCATTGTTGAAGGCCGTACGGTAACCTATGGTTGTAAAAACTTCAACTGCGTTTGCTTCTCGCTTTAAGTTGATCACCGTCATCATTGTTGTTTATCCGCCCTTCATCTATGTAATCCCATCTTACAGAACCTGCCTATTGTATTAATTAGTTATTAGTTTTATGTCCTCAATATGCACGAAATAAACATTAGTGAAGCAACAATCAATTTATCAGTCATTGAAATTGCTTTCGAGCTAAATTATGACATAGGGGATATCATATATCTATATTTCATCTCAGAAAGTCGGTGTTCTGGATTATTTTATTTTCAAATTCCATGCAAATGATAACTTTATTACAACATAAACGGTACCAATTTTCTGTATTTCTGTGCAAATGCGCATTTCGACAATCAATGTCTCTTCAGTGTTGCTTGGGTCCAAAATATTTGAAAATCCAAAGCTTTTTTAAAAGATGAAGAGCTATAAACCAAAATGTTTTAAAAAGCATAGCCAAGGTCGGGCATGGAATCAGAGCTTTGCATGAGGGAGATATATTCTGTGTAACCTGATTCCAACCACAGAGTTCAGTGCTTGTACTAACTGAGGAAAACAAAACTCAATTGCAGCTTAATTATTGATATGAGGCAAGGGTTTTTTCAAACACAAGCCAATGTATTATCTAAACTGTAAGGGGATACACTTATAATCATTAATATTTCGAAAGATTTGGATTGTTCAGTTTTTAGATATAATAGCTCCCAATAAAAAATATAATAAACTGTTCTATAGAGATACAAGACTGTGTTGATTTTCATTTTCATTTCTTTATAAAAAAAAAAGCAGGGTTTGTCAACTACCACTTGGTGTTTTTCTTTGAAAAATATCACAACACGGCGTAAAAGAGTAATCTGAGATTGAAATCAAAAGATCAAGTATGTCAGGACAATTTTGAAAAATAAAATGACGGATGACAAAACACAGAAACGGAGAGTGTAAAAAGTCATATCTCTTTACGATAACCATTGCATAATTGAGAATTTCATCCAAAATATAGAGAACGTAGATTTAATCTTTATATATAGTTTATAAATTCGAATGAGTTTTTTGGAAACGAAATAAAAAGGAAGTTATCTCCAAATTTTGCATGATTCGATTCATGCTTTTATTCTGTATACTAAATTTAAAAAAAAAACAATATTCAATTCTTATATAAGCAGATATTCAAAGTAGAAAGATATATGCGGAAAGAAATTTTGAATCCGAAAGTAAAACTAAAACACAAAACTTTGACTGAAATTGTCTAGTGAGATGAAAGCAGTATCATGCCACGTGAAATCAATGATTGCACGTCATAAAGCTAAAATTTGCATTATGAAGATGTCGATTCAAAGAAAGTTGCCCATCAAATAATCACCAAACTTCAATATAGAATTGAATACTGTTTCTTTTGAATAAGAAATGAAAGTAAGTGACCATCACATTTTGTATAAAGCGCAACAATGCTTAATTCAGTCTTGTTAAAATCTGATGGTTACTTGCTTTTATTTCGTGCAAATTTTCAAAAAACTCAATTCTTATTTTCATAGATTTTCGAAACAAAACAATATATGTTATTCACATTTTGAACTGAAAGTAAAACTTTAAGCACATACGTCTGCAGAAATTGTTTAGTGAGATGAAAGCAGTGCCATTCCACTGTAAATATTAATTAATAACGTCTCTGCAATATAGGATAAACATTTATTTTTCATTTTTGTTTAAAATATTCATATCTGAAATAAATAATGTTAAATACTTTTTAAATCAATAAAATATACATAACATTTTGCTCTGTAAAAATCAGCTGAACGTTTTAATCACGTTTTATTGTTAAGGAAATATTAAGTTTCTAAAGGATCAAAATTAGTGTTTGTCAAACTGCTATATATCCAACGGAATTTTTCCGATAAAGTGTTGGGTTCAAGTTTTTTGAAATTTTATAAATTTTTGTCAAAGGGTCAAAGTAAATGTTTTGTCAAACTTTTATGAAAATTAAACGAGTCAAATTAATTTTAGTCAAGTTGTTTGGTACCATCTTAAATGTTTTTGCATGAGAAAAGGATATCCAAGTTTTTACTACTGCACACTCCACTGAACAGATAAGCCATTACTATATTGGAAAAGATAACTCTAGAATGAAGATTTCCTTTTTGCTAATGAGAACAAGTTCTCTGCAGTTTTTAAAACATAAACTGTATGTTTCGGGTGTTCTAAAGTTAAGATGAATTGTAGTTAGAAGTGTTCCATCACAGCTTAGAACTCTCAACGCTTTTAAATATCTTCCAGATACGATAATATTACCAACCGATGTTGTCTCTATATCATTTGCCAAACAAATCGTGTATTTCCAGTTGACCTTTCCGGCCTTGCTCAAATCTATAACTTCATCTTGTTCTACACACAATATACAAATATGTCCATTAGTATTCTCTGTCATTCTAAATCTGTTTACTGAAGATATATTCCATTTGGCAGGAAAATCACACTTGATTGTTTTTTTCAATATCCCAGTTTTTGAGATTATATCAATTCTAAGTTTTACTAAAAACTCGCTCTTGAGTGTGGTGGATGAGACATCTTTGACGTAAAGAACCAATACATTTCCATTTTCACAAACACAAAGTGCTAAAGGTACATTTTTGCTGTTTAGAAGTGAGTAGAACGCCATAACATCAGAACTTTGACTTCTTATTCGAACAGAATTGTCTCTCTTTGTAAGAAATAGCAGTTGTGATTGTTCCGATGTGGCCAAATCTAAAATATCTGACTGATCGCAAATTCTTTTAGGCTTTTCATGGGGCTTCAATTCAATAGAAACACAAGGATCGGAAACAAATATTGTTCCATCTTTAGCAACCGCTAATGAGCTATTATCTTCAATCTGTTGTGCTAAGTAAAATTTATAAATAGGATGTCTAATATGCACTTCAGTTGCTATATTGTGATATTCTAAACATCCTATAAGTGCATTCACGTCATCTATAGTAATTTGTTCAGGAGAAAACGTGGTCATTTCCCGTGGAAAATATACTGGTGGATCACTGTCCTTTTGGATACGACTTGAAATGTTTGCAACCTCTAGTAATATGTCTCTTATGTTATCGTTCATTTTTGTTGTAACTATTCTTTTAATTTCATTTTTCAACTCTTTCTGTATTTGTTCCAGCTGTGATAGTTCTTCTTTTATTAGATCTCTGTTCCTGATCAAAACATTTCCTAAAGACTTTATTAGATTGCTTGTACATATTGAAATAACCTCTTTCAACTTTTCTGTCTGCTCTTCAATTTTTTTTCTTTCGGCTTCATATTTTTCTTCAAAGGAGATGTCCAATGAAATTAATAATTCCATTTTACTCTGAATATTTGGAAAAACATCATTTTCGATTTTTTCCTTCAAATTTTCAAGTTCTTTCAAACTCTGTTCATGACACTCAAATATTGTTATATTGTCATGTTTGAAATGTAGCGAACCTAACGCTATACATTCGGGACAAACAAGTTGCTTACAACTCAAACAATAGTTAGTATTGTAATAGTTTTCGTGTTTAGTGCAACATGTTTCGGCAAGTTCTTCGCTATGACTTAATCCCTGTGCAAATGGAGACCTGGTACATATTAATTTATGCTCTGTCCAATTAATATTCCATAGATGAAACATTTTGCACTCATAACATAGATGCTTATCGCAATCTATACATTTCCATTCTGTATTTTTTTCTAGTTTACAGAATGAGCAGAGCGGAATTTGAGCTTTTTGTAATGATTCAAATAAAGCCATGATGATCTATACTCAACTTAGCTTCTCAAAGCCAGTCATTTATATATTTTAAAACCTTTACTTATATATAGCTAGATTGTTTGTTGATCTTAAAGTCCCTTAAAACACAAATATTCAAGATAAGATTATTTTATCATAGATAATAAAAACGCAATTCAGATACAAATGTAAAGTGTTCTTTTGGTGTTTACATTTAATAAAGCAAATCTCATAATTCAATTCACAAACAATGCCTTTCCTATAAAATTAAAATTCTTCCAGTTGTCAAAAAATTTGAAATATAACTACTGTCTTACTATTAAAATGTCATCATACGGGGAGATAGTAGCTTACCGATGTTCAAATCTCGTAAACCGATATGAAGGTAACAAGCATTGGTCTTTCGCTATCTTAGTGTCCTTTAGAACAAGAATAATACCACTATAATTGTTTTTATTGGCTAGGAGAAAATGGTCACATATACAGTTTAGTGTCTTTATGGTAAAATTGCAATTGGTTTATATTTTATAAATGAAAAGTCGTAATTCATTACCTTAATGAGTCAATTCTTATGTACACAAAAAAGACTTTCAGTTTGAAATATAAATACTATAACATGTATAATAAATCATTATTATAATAAATAAAACTTCAAAGGATGTAAGGATTTATTGCAAACAACACAACACTCAAATAAAGAGGCTCACTAAATTTTATATAGCTCAGCTAGTACAGCAAGAAACCTCAATATTTCTAAATAGTACATAACTTAATACATTTGACTGAATTTACAGTGATCGATCTTTTAACATAAATAGTACAAGAACATTACGTTCATTTTTTGTTTATAGATCCTGTAA